TGGCTGCGCAAGGAGCGAAGTTTTTCCAGGGCGGAGAGGCTGAACGAGGCGAGAACGCCCTGGGAGGACTCAAGGCGCCGGCGGCCGGGACCGGGCTGAGGAGTCTGCGGTGGCTTGGGGGACAGCGGTCGGCGACAGAGGACGCCAAGGAAAAGTGGGTGTAGGATCTCGGGGGTGAGCGCAGGGAGCCCCACGCGCGGCTTTTACGCAGGCTCGGGTCTCCGTTTATTCTGGGGCTGTCCGGGGCCAATGCCTCGTCAGCTCTAGGGGACCAGCTGAGGCCACTGTCCCTCAAGACCGCCGGAGTCCCCAGCACCTGTGGTCATGGTGAATGAAGATCCCAACCAACAGGAGTGCGATGGCACCCCTGCGCAGGAGTCCGCAGTCCGGGCGGACCCCAGCGTCTCTGCGGACCCCAGTGTCTCGGTCCAACCCAGCGTCTCGATGCACCCCAGCGTCTCTGCGGACCCCAGCAGTTCGGCCCACCCCGGTGGCTTGGCCCGCCCCAGTAGCTCAGGCCCCGAAGACCTTAGCGTGATCAAGGTGAGCAGGCGCCGGTGGGCGGTGGTCCTGGTGTTTAGCTGCTACTCCATGTGCAACGCTTTCCAGTGGATCCAGTACGGCTCCATCAATAACATCTTCATGAACTTCTACGGGGTTAGCGCCTTCGCCATCGACTGGCTGTCCATGTGCTACATGCTAACCTACATCCCTCTCCTCCTGCCTGTGGCCTGGCTGCTGGAGAAATTCGGCCTGCGCACCATCGCGCTCACCGGCTCTGCTCTCAACTGCCTGGGGGCCTGGGTGAAGTTGGGCAGCCTGAAGCCACATCTCTTCCCAGTGACGGTGCTGGGCCAGGTCATCTGCTCTGTGGCCCAGGTCTTTATCCTGGGCATGCCCTCCCGCATCGCTTCCGTCTGGTTTGGGGCTAATGAGGTTTCAACAGCCTGCTCCATAGCTGTCTTTGGCAATCAGGTGAGTAGAGGACTTTGTGGATGTTCAGAGGAATGAGCGTCATGTTGCTGTGAGACTGAGTGGGGTAGATTGTACCTAACTGTGGGGGAGCCTGCAATTTTCTGACTTCAGCAGTGTTTGTGACTCTGGGTGACTGTGGCTGGGTGTGACTGACGGTGTGAGTGATGGTGACTGGGTGACTGTGTATGAGAGGTGCGGGGAAACAAAAGGAGGTGACTTTTTCTTTCAACACAATTTCTCCTCCCCCAGCAGAAAGCATCCTTCTGGAACATAAACTGTTTTTATGATCTCATTACTGAACCTGTCAGTCCACCAGCTTAGACCTGTGACTTTAGGAAAGCTATTCTTTCTCAGGGAGTAGCCCATGGGTGTCAGACTGTTCTGGTGTCATGAGAATTGGGGAGGTGTTTTTGGCTTGACCAACCAGCTTTCCTAGAGTACAGTATCTCCTGTACTACACAGAATCGCGGAGCAGTGTCCTAGCGGTAGTTTGCACCGTTCTTACCTTCTTTCATACACAGCTGAAGCCAGGACAGTGGGAACAATGCTTTGTGCCAAACTCTTTCCCTGGAGTCTAGAGCCAAGTCCAGCAGGATGGAGTAGAAATCTTGCTCTGAATTTCATCCATCCTTGGAAAGGCCTAGAAATCTCATATCTTAATCCTTTGTCTTTCCTTCTTTATGCAAGGAGAATCTCAAATTCTTTGCATCTCACTGTGGTTGTGGCCCAGAAAGTTGGGTGTATTATGAATCTAATTGCCTTTTCCAATTCTTTGAAGCGAATAGTTATGGACTCCTTTATCTGGACCACTGCCTCCAGTCTCACTTCTTCCTAAGGACGTGCAGTCGTGGCTACGTGTCTAAGGAATGACCAATAACCCTTAGTTCTTGTAGGCCTATTTTCTCTGACCTGTTCATTGCATTTAGAAAATTTAACCTTTCATCTAGAAATATCTCATTTGGATCAGAAATTTCCAAATCTTCTCTCAAGGCAAATTTCCATTCTGTTCATCTTTAGCACCAGGGAGGTAAGCTGAGCTAGATTTCCCTATGCCGGTAAGTCCTGCCACTGGGGTGATCGTGGAAGCAATCAGTGAAAGCACAGAGACGGCTTCTCTAGCACGCAAACAGGCGCCATAAAGTCCTTTCCTCAGTTGTCTTGCACTGCAGGTTTGAATGTTCTGAAGATTGAATTGAGTTGAGGTCTGGGGATGAAACAAGATGGATCTTTTCTTCAGGGCAATTGAAAAGTAGGTATCGAGGGTGACATTTACCAACCCCCTACCCTCTAAGGTGATGTGACTGTGGATTTTAACATCCCCTTTGCAGCCCTGCTGATGGGTTTGACATTTTTGGATTTTTCCTTTATAGGAGGGTAAACCTGGGAGGTGAAGGGCGGGACTTGCAGGCTTCCAGAGGGTTAAAGCTCCCTGTGAGCAGCAGAACAAGATTCAGACAAGGTCGCTGCAATCCCAAACCCACTGTGTGGGGAGGGCAGGAGAGCTAACCAGGAGAAGTCTTCAGTGGTCTGGTGAGATCAGAGAATGCAACACTTTTTGTTAACCGTAAAGTGTAAACTAATAGGTTTTCAGAGCCCTCCTCACACACCTGTGAGGGAACTTAACACCAGATACATCTTTGAAATTTTAAAAGAATAGTTATTCATTCTCCACCCTCACCCCCCACCAAGGTCAGGAAATGCTAAGAATTTTACATTTGAAAACACTCTGATGGCATATATTTGTATCACGAGCCATCTATTTAAGTTTGACCTTTTAGGCTTAACCAACTGTGGTAAGTTAAAAAAAAAACACATGAAAAACGGAATTGTTTATGCTTCCTCACGTAGAGATGACCAGGTTTGCTTCTCGGCGTGTGTTCTAACCTTCCTTTCTGAGTAAAGCATGGCTGAGTGGAGGAGAAATATTAACAGAGCACCTTGAGCTTTGCTGCTTAGAAAAAAGGCTCCACCAAGATTTCAGATGTCATTCTGCAGAATAATTCTTCGTGACCTACAAACGTCACACTGATCAGCAAAACCCCTGTACCCTGCCAACTCTGACCTCTCTCCTAGTGCTTATATGCTCCACACCTGCACCAGCCCCTGCTCGCATTAAATCCCACATTCCCTCATTCATTCCACAAGCATTTTCCTGGCACCTACCTTTTGCCAGATACTATGCTAGGGCTGCAAAGATAATCCCTGCCTTCGCAGAGTTCCTGTACCAGGGTTTTAAATTCTACCGGGCACCAAGATTCAGAAAAAACAAGTAACACATGAAAAACAGATCAGAGTATAGAGGATTTACTTTCAGTTTTCCACAAGGTTTTTAGCATCTGCTTTGCCTAATTGCTATGGGAAAATTGAAGGGGAAGGAAGCTCATATCTATCAAACACTTATTATGTGCAAGGCACCTTTTCATCCATTGTTGAATGTTTCAGCTCTGTGAGATAGGTGGAATTGTCCCCATTGTTAGAGATGGAGAAACTGAGCCCCAGATAAATGGAGCCACCTTATCCAGGGTCCTACAGCTGCTGAGTGGTAGAAGGGAGATCTGAACCCAACTCTACCTGCAACACCCCTGTCAGTAGCCAGTATTGAGTCTTCACGTGAATGAGGCGTATAATTTAAAAAAAAAAAAAGGCAGGATTCTGAGGTTTGAATTTTGCCCCTTGCGTCTTGAGGGTTGTTGGTGGTGATAAAGCATCCAGCAGTTTTCTCCAGAATTTGAGGGCCTGGCACCTGTCTTTGTTTTGGAGTTCCCAGTATCAGCATTGCCTCTCTACCCGCTGTGCTGTAAACTGCTCAAGGGCCCCTTCTGCCTCTCTGAGCCTAGGCAGAGCGCACAGGAAGGTGGGGCTCCAGTCTCTGAGAAGGAGAACCAGTGAGGCCTGAGCTGGGGTGAGGGAGGGAAGGCTAGTCTTAGACTGCAGCCCCAGCTCTTCCCTTTCCCTTCCTGTGGTACACTCGGACCAATTGCACAGTGGGTAACAGCTTGACAGTTTTTAGCAACACTTGCTCCATTGTTTCAAGGGAAAATGATCTGTGTGGAGTTTTGAGTAATGTGGACACATTGTTAATGCGCAAGGGCTGGAAGCAAGCTTTGTGTGGGAGTCTGGTGATCGCTTGGTGACACAGGACGGTCAGCTCCAGCCCCAGTGAAGAGCCTACAGCACCGATGCTTCCTCAAGGACCCTTGGGCAGCTCATAGCCCAGCACCACCCAGCAATACAGTAGGAGAGAATCAGTTTGCTTTTCGAGGTAAAGAAAATACAGTAACTTTACAGAATGAGTTCTGTAGAAGCCACGGCTGGCTGGGCTATCGAAAATAGCGCTGTCCAGGAAAAATATAACGCAGGCCACTAATGCAAGCCATGTACATAACTATATTTTCTAGTAGCCACATCAAAAATAGGTAAAATGTAAATTTTAAAAAAAGTAAAAAAGAACAAGTGAAATTAGTTTTAATACTATATTTTATGTAATCCAGTATATCCAAAATATTATTTCAACATGTAATCAATATAATAAAATTACTAACAAGCTATTTTATATTCTTTTTTCATACTGAGACTTTGGAAATCGGCATGTATTTTACACTTGTAGATAGCCACGTTTCCCAGCAATAATGGGATGTGTTCAATAGCATCAGGTTCTAGCAGATCCAGAACAATGATGCTAATTGTAGAGGAGAAAAAGTTTTCCTTGAGCGTCTTAAGGTCCCTGGCTGGGTCTAAAAATTGAACTGGCAAAGTCAAATTAAAAGGAGAAAATCAAGGCCGGCCCTGTGGCTTAGTGGTTAAGTGTGTGCGCTCTGCTGTTGGTGGCCCGTGTTCGGATCCCGGGCGCGCACCGACGCACCGCTTCTCCGGCCATGTTGAGGCTGCGTCCCACGTACAGCAACTAGAAGGATGTGCATCTATGACATACAACTATCTACCGGGGACTTTGGGGAAAAAAAATAAATAGATAAATAAATTTAAAAAATAAAAAAAATCATCCAGATTTATTTAATGTAAGTATGATGTAATATGGGAGCCTTACTGTTTCTTTCTTTCTTTCTTTCTTTCTTTTTGCTGGCGAAGATTAGGCCTGAGCTAACATCTGTGGCCAGTCTTCTCTATTATGTACGTGGGACACCACCACAGCGTGGCTGACAAGTGGTGGAGGTCCGTGCCCAGGAACCGAACGCGGGCCACCAAAGCAGAGTGCGCCAAACTTAACCACTAGGCCACAGAGCCAGCTCCCACCTTACTGTTTCTTCATAAGGAAATGAAGAAACAGGTCGACCCATGTGCTTTTGTGCTGGGTTTGATGAGGAGTGGACAGTCGTGGAGGAATATGAATGGTGAAGGAGTATCAGGTGGTTTTAACTGGGGGAAACTGTACAAGGCTAGTTTGTTAGGATTCTCCTTGGGGGAGTCCCTTTGTCTCCAGAGATGAGGATGCTCCCTTCCTCCGAGTACAGGGAGGGCACCTCTCACAGGAGGGTTTTAAGGGCTGTTTCAGGGAAGAAGGGCGGGGACGGGGAGGAGGTCAGAGTGATCTGCCTCTGCCATTTTCTGAAACTCCTTCAGCTTAAAATACTCAAGATGCCAAGGTCCCGTATTCTGGGGTAGCGTGTCCTGAGCTGTGTTACATTTCCATCAGTTGGAAATCAGAGTCTAGCAGGTAAAGATGGGCTCTAGGAAGCCGAGGCCAGCCTCGAGGAGCTTGTGTTTGCTGGACCCGCTGATCATATGGCATCGCCCAGAGGCTGACTCAAGAGTCAGGGTCTTAGGTGGTGGTCAGCCTAGTCTTGTTCCAGAATCATCGTCACTTGGGTCTGTTCAAGTCCGGGCTTTCCTTCTGGATCTTCCAACGTCAGAGGCCTTTCAAGGTCAGAGAGAAGTTTGGGGAGGTGAAGGCAAACTCTTGTTCTCTTCCTTTGGTTGTGTTAGTGTTACGCAAGGCACACAAAGGGCCAGCCCACACGGCCACCCACTTTCTGGCCCCCCGT